TTTTTTTCAAAAACGCTATTTTATATCATCAGTGCCGTGCTTATAAATTTTACCTTCCTCTTGTCTGAAATGGATGAAGTAAAGATGTTATACAGAGTGCACTAGTCAATCACATTTGCGACTGCAAAAATGAGAAAAAAAATGCACAAACATATATTAAAATGTTATTTCAATCATCATCAATAAATTAGGGATATGATGCTGGACTTGCAGATAGCTATTACTGTGTGGGTGCGATCGAAACACCTTTGGAAAAACAAGAGTGCCTCTCTTGGACAAAGGTGAGCTAACATCATGTTGAAAAGGCTAACTAATATCGAGTTTTGAAAAAAGAATTCTTACAGGTTTCAAATTGCGGAAACCAATCGCACTTCCCCGATATATCTGTCAATATCTGTGAATGAGACTATTTGCATTAGTGCAATGTCAGTGTTAGGCTTGCTTTTGATTCAAAAAGACAACAGTGAAACTATAGGCACCAGCCATCTCATCGTTTATTTACTTGATGCGGTGAGCGGAATGTTATGCATTACAATCCTGAAATGTATATAAATTTGAACTAAACCCCATGAAAAGCTTCCCCTATTTTAGGGTTAGAAAAGCTGAGATAGAGTTTCAGAAAATTGGAATCAAACCATAGAAAATGAACATTTTTTACAGCTTGGTGCCTGGAGGATTATCTTCATCAACTTCACACTTATCTACTACAGCTATCTTGCGAAAAAGACCCGACAGGCTGTCATGACTCATTTGGCAAGGAGTCCTCAGCAATCAACTGTTGATCACTTTGCAGGTCTCAGAGATATGTGGAAATGAAGCTTTTCAATCTTTCACTTTATTTTCTATATTGAAATATTTTCACAGTGATGGATCTCTAACAAACCATTAGAAATAATATCTCTAATCACCTAAGTATCACTTGTGCATGAGTAATACGCTGAACGAACCGTATTTATTGCCTCAACACATTTGAGCATAACATTTGGAGACCCTGATTCAATAAAACTTTTCTTCATTCACGAAGTTCGTCAACACTGAACTCTGTAACGACCGCGAAGTGATCGGATGGATAATCATTATCCCTATGGTATGGTAT